AAGGGGGAGAAAAAGAGAGAGAGAGAGAGAGAGAGAGAGAGAGAGAGAGAGAGAGAGAGAGAGAAGGGGGAGTGTTTTTAAGGAGACACTGAATTATTTATTTTTGGTCAGGAGCTGTGACTGCTGCATTTTCAGAGAGCTTTCAGTTCTGTCTTATGATTGATCATTCAAACTGTGAATCAGGATCACCTAGGTTATTTAGGATAAGCTTTCTAAAGGGCCCTGGCTAGAAACTCAAATCATTCATACAATTTCTTCATAGAGTAGTCTAGACTAGTGTTTGTCTGAATACCTGAGCACTATAGCTGACTTTTACATTTGACCATTGCAGAATCCCAGTACCACCCATATTTGCAAATCAGTTTTCCTTTGTTAGTGTTACTGTTTAAGCATTTACTTAAGTATCACATTTTGAAGGTGATGAGCTAGTCTCTGGTGAGCTAGTTTTTACTGTGAATAACAGGAATGATACAGGAACTATAGGTTGATAACAGATAATATTACAAGACATTCATAATTCATCTTTATATTAAAAAATTTAAAACTTTCTGTTTTAAGCTTTTATATTTTTCTGTGACTGTGCATGTTATGCATTATAAACTGGGATACACACATGTTCTGGCATGCATGTGGAAGGTCACAAAACAGTACTTCAGAGTTCTCTCTTTCACACTTACGTGAGTTTCAGTTTGTCAGGCTAACCTGACAAGCATGTTGAGTCTCAGAGCCATACCTGTGGACCCCAAGTCTCTCTTTTATTGCCTTTATTTATTTAACTTCTCTGTTATCTTTCCTGGTTAACCTTGTGTTTCTTTGAATTGACTGAAAACACACAGTTCTAGATAGATGTACAGTGTGAAATTTATTAGAAATTTTGTTAGGGAAAAAAGATTATTTCATGCTTATTCATCCTTAGTGTCACATCTGTTGGTTTTAATTTTTAATATTTTTATTACTTTTAATTGCATGTGTGTGTCGGAGGAATATGTGCATGTTAGTGCGGTTGCCTTTAGACCCCCTGGAGCTGGAGTGATAGACAGTTGTGAAACACTGGGTGTGGGTGGTTGGAACCTAACCTGGGCCCTCTGGAAGAGGGAATGCATTCTTACCCAATGAGCCATCTCTCTAGCCTTACATATTTGTTATTTATAAATAATGCCACTGTATTGCTGATTTTTATTTGGCACATTATGATTCCCAAACATTTTATTCTGTGCGACCAGATTGTTTTTATAACAAAGAGAATCTATTTTCAAACAGATCCAGAATTTTGGAATGCATACACTTCTAATGAGTTCTTGAAAAAAAAAAAAGAGACATTCATAATGGAACTATTCCTTCAGTCTATACTCCTTTACCTCTGGGAGAAATGCTGATGTTCTGCCATGGGTATGGCTCTACAGTACTACAACAGTTTAAACTAACAGAACTGTGAAGCCTTGATAGACGCTGAAGATGTTTCCAGAGGAAACCTTCAGATGTAGAGCACATGCTCTACAGGTCTCCTAGAGACAGAAAGGCTTATGCTTAGTCACTTGTAAGTGGCTGATTAATGAAATATGTATACTTAAATAAATTCTGATGTTTTGTTGTATACGAATTTCAATGCTACTAAGGTATTATATCTAGTTAGAACATAAACATGTATTCAACACAGAAAAAATCTGGTTAGATGACTGTGATCATTCTAATGTTTCCAGTATGCTCTAATAAATTTGTTTTCTTATGGGGGCCCACCAGAAAGGACCACTCAGACACAGTTTATAGCCAATATCTCTTCCAACTGTCTGAGACGATATCAAGGTATTCAAGGACCTAGATGTAGCCCTCAGAAAACCATATTCATCCTGGCCTTCAGTTCAGCAGCTTCATAGTGGGAGGGGAGGTGTGGGAGGAGAGTGGGGCAGTGCTTCACATAAGCAAGCAATTTGGCAGAAGCTAAGATAAGCATCTAACTAGCTGGGAGGTTTGCATAAACAGGCAGTTTAACAGAAGCAGAGGTAAGTTAGCTAGGACAGCCTGACATTAAGTTCCTAGGATAGAGCTGGGTAATTTTCCATGGGATTCTCCATCAAGGAAATCAAATTTTAGTTAAACCTGAAATGGCCTCATCAAGAATACAGGATGAAGGAACCACTGCACCGTCTTGCCGTGCCACTGTTTAACATATATCATTTTAGTGTGTGCCTATATGTTTTAAGTGAATTATAGACACTAGTATTGAAGTTCCAAACAAGACCAACATGATTCCTGCCTTCATAAATTATATTATCTAAGTAGAGAAGAATGGCACTGAGTAAAAATGTATGCAAATGTTTAAAGTTAGTGACTCAACAGAAAAGTACCGTGTAAAATATAAGAGTACTGAATTCTGGGGAACCAGAATCCCTTGAGGAAATCATGTTTACTGAGACCTGAATCTTGAATAATGGTAAAAGCTAACAGTCCTGGCTCTGTGCAGGAAGCTATTCTCAGTCCTATTTATATGTGGATTCAGTTCACCCTCCTCTCAGTAATGCAGACATTATTGTTTTCTTCCTCTTTAGAAGAAACTAGAACAGAGAGATTAGTAAATGAATTGAAAAGTTAACATTTAAGCTCGGAAAAAAATAGTCTGTTTTAAAGACTATTACATGACAGGAGATAAAAAGCTGAAATGAAGGGGTCTAGGAAAACGACTGAGTGGAAAAGGTGACAAACCTGAGTTCTCTCCCTGGAACCCACGTAATGAAAGGAGAGAACTGACTTCAGTAAGTTGTTCTCTGACCTCCAAATGCACACCTGACATGTTCACACAGACACATTTGTACATGAACTGTAACACACAGAACATAAATACATCCTTTTTGAAAAGGGGATTCCAAGCTAGCTCAACAGATAAAGCATTTGCCACCAAGCCTGACACCATAATTTCATTCCTAGCACCCACAGGATGAAAGGAAAAAACTGATTCCTGCAAGTTCCTCTGATGGCCATGTGCCCACGGTGCCATGAGTGAGTGTGTGCCCACAGACACACAGACACACACACACAGAGACACACACAGACACACACCAGTAAATAAATGTAATACAAAAGTTCTTTTAAAAGGCTAAGATGAGCTGGGCAGTAGTGGCACATGCCTTTAATCCTAGCACTCAGGAGACAGAGGCAGCTGATCGCTATAAATTTAAGGACAGCCTGATCTACAGATCAAGTTGCAGGACAGTCAGGGGTACACAGAGAAACTGTGTCTCTAAACGAACCAAACAACAACAAAAGCCAAAACCACCACCACCAAAAAAAAAAAAAAAATAGGTTTAGATGAAGATTGTTTCAGACATGGAAACCCAAGTGTAATTCCACAAAAGAATGAGAATGCTCAAAAGCTGATTACATAAACATACAGGAGAAACTAGAGGAGGAATTCCTTATTCTGATTTGTTATCTTTTCACTTTGGCTTTAGGTTGAAAATATGTGGGAGGAGCATCCTAATTAAGTAAAAAGAACAGTTAAGAGATTGTGTGGAAGCCTAAAGAGCTAATGCTAGCTTAGACCCAGATTGCAGTGCATGGAATAAACCATATAGCTCTGGAAGCAATTGGGAGATAGAAATAGCAGAACTCTATGTGTGGGGTTAAGAAAGGGAAAATGTATATGTTGTTTGTTTCTCTTGTGTGGCAAGTGACAGTTTGAGTTCGTTTGCTTAGACAAGGGTCTAGTATATCCCAGATTGGCCTCTAACTTGCTATATCCTTAAGTGTGGCCTTGAAAGTCCTTGTCTCCTCTTCAGCCTCCTAGTGCTAGAATTCTAGGTATGTACCACCACCCTGGTTTATGAAGTGCTGGTGAGTCAGTGCAGCCCTTTGTGCATTCTAGGAAGGCATCTGAATTCCAAGGTCATCTGGCTAGTGAATTCTATACAGAAGCCAAAAGTGGGCCCTAGAGGTCTGCCATCCAAGAGAGTTCCAGCTTTGATAAAATGTAGGAGCTTTTCATCCCTAGCACTGAGTAGCAGATAAAAAGAAAGTACAATAAGAAGACTAGTGAATTATGGGTAGAAGATGGGTAGCATTTCAGTTTGGGTCGATGGGATGCTGACATATAGGAGAGACTGAGAGGAGGGGCTAGATAGGAGTTAGGAAGACTAGCCACACATGCACACGGTGAAAACAAATAGTGCTTTAAAATATTGTTTTTGTACTGCATGTTAGTAACTTTAGAGGGATATATGTTCTTGTTATTAAAGTGTATTAATTATAAAGTGGATTCGCTTTGTTTTTCTCAGAGAGACTGGTGGTGGTGGCGGAGCACTGTGAGCGGAGTTTGGAAGACCTTCTACGAGAAAGGAAACCCGTGAGGTAATGTAGAATATGTGTCAAAGAGATGAAAAGGAAATTGGCAACCAAAGAAGCATTTGACTAGAAATGGAAGGATTGTGGTTTCTTTTAATATTATATAACGATAACATTCAGAATAGGTCTTTACTTTAGGAACTTTAATTCACATGGTTCATAGAAATTCAATGTTAATACAAAATACTTGAGAAAATTCCTCAATGGAGTATACATATATGAGAACCTTGACAACTTAGTTCTGAGAATTTATTCCATTATCAAGGAATACTTTCATGAAAGGGGCCATAGTAGCTTCTCAATGTACAGTGATAGTCCCAGGTGAACAGTGAACTTTGTTAAGAATTCCATGTTGAGGGTGAGACACAGTTAGTAATCATGAGTTAGGTAACACTTAATGATAAAATATAATTCATTTTTTTCAGCAACTGGATAAATTTATGTTGTCTTATAATAGTGTTATCTAGTTTTTTATTACAAGTACACTATTAAACAGGTTTTATGCATTTACTCAAAATTATTTTTAAATAATAAAAGGTTTATTGTTTAAGTAAAGTTCTATTAATCTAACAAAAATTACTTCCCATGAGTCTTTATGACTTTGGAATTTTCTACTTCATCCCTCTGAACCTGTGGAGTTCTCAAACATTGAGGCAAGGGACAGGGGAAGGTACACAAGGAAAACCTCCAGTCTATCCTGAGGTCAGGGTCACTTATTATTTCAAAGAAAGAAATGCCAAATACCAAGGTGATCAACCTGAAGCTTCTTTTGGAGGAATTACTTAGAGTGCTGCAGCAAAGTACAGAAGAGAGTGGTTCTAGGTGCTCAGGTTAGAGGCTTCCTGCTCTGGGTTCTGATTCCCAGCAGCCTGGTGCTTAGACAGTGAAAACCTCAGCAGCAGCAGCAGCAGGAGGAGGAAGAAGAGGAGGAGGAGGAGCTAAGCAGCAGGAGGAGGAGGAGCTAAGCAGGAGGAGGAGGAGGAGCTAAGCAGCAGGAGGAGGAGGAAGAGGAGGAGGAGAAAGAGGAAGAGAAGGAGGAGGAGGAGGAAGAAGAGGAGGAGGAAGACGAGGAGGAGGAGGAGGAGGAGGAAGGTGGAGCCCCTGGCTGGGTCTCATATGTTGGACTCTGAAGCTCCTCTCATGGATGATGTTAGAGTTCTTGGACCTAGGGTGTAGGTATCCTTGGTTTCTGACAGAGGCCAGTTACAGATCTCCAGTGCCTAGTGAGGCTTGGCTGCTCTCGGTTGGCTCTGCCAGCCACTGGGCCACACCCTTGTTATGGTTCTTCACAGCCTTCCCTGTGCTCCATCTCTGCCATCTTTGTTCCATGCTGTCTCTGCACTCAGCATCTCTCTTTAGTCTTCATCTTGGTGCTGCTGCTTTTCTTTGGTCTGTTAGCTCTCTCATCCCCATGTTCCCAGCTCAGTTTGCTTACAGCAGTCAAAAGTAGGCCAAGTAAAAACCAAAACCAAAGAAACAAAATTGAGATAAGCCTTTTGTTGGGTTTATTGTTGTGTTACTAGAGCCAAGCAGGAGGTATCCATCCCCTAGCTGACTCCAGAGCTGACTTTATCACCAGAATCAATGTGATATGGCAAAGGTGTTTGTGTCACTCTTTTATGTTAAAGGTGATCATATCACTCTTTCATGCAAATAAAAGATTGTGCTTCTAGCAATTACAGGCCTTTTGCTGGACCACTAGGAAACCTACTCCCTTCTGGACTGGTTGAAAATAGCTGTAGTTACGTTCACTGAAGCTTGTCTTCTCAAGAAAGTAGAAACTTTTCCAGGCTCATGGATGTTTGGAGTGGTCGTGTCTGGAGCTTGAATTCAGCCATGGTTGTAGTAGTCCTCTGCAGCTTCCTGCTGGGGTGTCCTCAGAGTAAACATCAGCAAGGTTGTCATGAGAGCTATCCAACCTTTGCATGGGATGGACTGCTTGGCGGATATTACCCATTCATGCATGCCACCATGAGACAAGACTGTCACACGGGCCTGTGCCTGTTCTTCACTAGTTTAGACATTGACAGAAAGCATTAACAACTCTTGTGGTTAAATTCAGGCCTAATCTTTTGTTTGATATTGAATATGTATGAAATTGTATTTTATTTTCCATTTTTTTTGTTGCTAATATGAGACAATATAAGTGAATACTTTTCAATAAAGGCTTTCTGTCTATGGCCCTACTAAAGAAAAGTCCATTCTTAGTTCAAATAGTTTCTTTGCAGATTCTGAAAGGTTTTCTATGTAAGCAACCATATTATCATTAAAATATGATTACATTCTTTTATTTATTTTTATTTTTTTGTTTGTTTGTTTTTTTGAGACAGGGTTTCTCTGTGTAGCCCTGGCTGACCTGGAACTCACTCTGTAGACCAGGCTAGCCTCGAACTCTCGAACTCAGAGATCTGCCTGACTCTGCCTCCCAAGTGCTGGGATTAAAGGCATGCACCACCACCGTCCGGCGATTACATTCTTGTCTAGAAAAATTATTATAGTTTTTTTCTTGATCTTGATTCAGTTTGACAAAATTGAACTTTTGCTGGTATGTATTTGTATTATTGTAATATAAATATTGATGGTCATGTTTTATTGGTTTTAGATATTAAGGAAAACTTCAACATTGTACTATTATGTATGATATTTGCAATAATGTTTTCATAGATGCATTTTATATGACTTTTATGGCATAATAAAAGATTTTAGTATTTTTGTGCCATGATAATAAGTTATTTAAAAATGACAAAAATACCCATGCTTATTGAATGAGTATTTTTCTTTTGTCTCTTAGATATATTAAAACACTGGTCTGCTGATTATTTTATGTCAGGAAAATTGGAGAGTATGGATTTATAATAAAATTTATAATTACAAATAAGAATTATAAAATTCTTAATTTATAAAGTGCTCACATTTACATATAAGTATATTATATGCTCTTTTTTTTTTTTTTTTTTTTTTTTTTTTTGGTTTTTCGAGACAGGGTTTCTCTGTGTAGCCCGGGCTGTCCTGGAACTCACTCTGTAGACCAGGCTGGCCTCGAACTCAGAAATCCTCCTGCCTCTGCCTCCCAAGTGCTGGGATTAAAGGCGTGCGCCACCACCGCCCGGCGTATTATATGCTCTTAAAAGGCACTAAAGTCTTTGAAGGAAAAGTGGATCTGCTGGATCAGTGATCCACTGTGATCAGGCAGTGGTCCTTATCTGATCAGCCGTAGCTGCTGTTCAGTACATGTCTATCTCCTTGTAACTTCACAGAGTGAAGTAAGGGACAGTTGAAGCATTCTCCAAGTGTAGCAGATCAGTTCTGGAGGCTCTGTTGTCAAAGCAGACCGTGTCTTCCGCTTGTATTTTGACCTTAGCAAATGGATTATTTGTTGAGGAGAAAAGTTACCTAGTGTTCAGGTTGGAAAGTTGATTTCCTGTTGTTTCTTTCTCATTGCCAATTAGTAACATTCAAAATTTACAGCATTCAGCTGCAGTTTTTTTAAAATAAAAGTTGAGTTGTAAAACCTAAAAACTTAGACACAGAGGATGTATTTTTATACCTTCTACAAATATTCTTTGATAGTTAATTTGTCAAAGTTTCATTTCAAAACTGAATCTGAGAAAAAATGAGTTGCTTAATTTAGCATAAATACCTGAGTTCAGTAGTCAAAGAAGTTCTTCTCCTTCAGTTTTAGAAACTATTTTCTCTGGGCTTTAGAGGTGAGTCACTGATTAAAAACAGTACTGCCTTTGCAAAGGATGCAGGATCAGTTTCCAGTACCCATGTTGGCTGGCTCACGACTACTTACAAGTATCACTCCAGGGCCACCCTTCTCTGGACACCTGGGCACCTGTATTCACATGTAAACATACTGACATATAGGTGCACACGTATCACATAATTTTAAAAAATGAATTCTTAACTTCTTTGTATTAGCATATCATTAAAAACACCTTGTCCTCTGATTCTGAATTTATAAAACTAATAAATATTAAAAAGTTGTATATTTGCCGGGCAGTGGTGGCACACGCCTTTAATCCCATCACTTGGGAGGCAGAGGCAGGCAGATTTCTGAGTTCGAGGCCAGCTTGGTCTACAGCGTGAGTTCCAGGACAGCCAGGGCTGCACAGAGAAACCCTGTCTCGAAAAAAGAAAAAAAAGAAAAGAGAAGTTGTACATGAAGGGCCTTTTTATCTTGAGAGTATAGTAGAGGTTCTTTAAAGACAAACATATTATATCTTTGCAATATTATTTGAGCATTAATCTCCAGTGGCTTTTTTTCTCTCCTTTTTTTTTAAGTAATCATACAGTAGCTAACCATAATTCATCTTTTTCCTCTCCATTAAGTTTTTACCTCAGGCTGATACCAAGAAAATTTAACCAAAGGAAAATGTATATGGAAAGGATTAAGATTTTTATAAGGTGAAAAAACATGTTGAATTTATACAGTCTAGAATTGTATCCTCCTTGGTTTGCTGACAGTATGTGTGTTTTGGCTTATGCAGTGACCTTTAGAAGTATCACGGATCATTGATTTGAGGAAATAGCATGTGTGGTTTTAGTTAACACTTCTATATGAATGATTCCCAAATCTATCTCACCAGCTCTGACCTCTGGTTCTCTTGTCTGGCCTCTATTTCTTGCAATCTGTTAGAATCTCTTCTTGGAAACATTGCACATAGCTGAGGGAATTGGTGGTTTATTTGTCAAGTTAACAGAATTTAAAATCACCTGGGACAAGGGCCTCTGAGAATGTCTGTGTGTGTTTATCTTAATTCTGATAATGGATGTAGGGGGACACACTCCCTGTGAGTGACACCATTCCCTGGGCATGGGGACCTAGACTGTATAGTTCTAGCACACATGCATTAATCCACTGCTCTCTGCTTTTGGTTATGGTTGTAACATGGCCAGCTCTCTCAGGTTCTATCACTGTGACTTCTTGCCATGATGGACTAAAATCTAAAACTGGGTTTCAGAAAAACTCCTTCTTTGAGTTGCTTTTATCAGAGTATTTT